GGGGGGGGGGGGGAGAGATGGAGAAAAGATAAAAATTGGGGTGCAAGGACCCTTCCCCACTTTTGGGGTGACCCCCCCACTTTTGCCCCCCCCCCAAAATCCAGGCCTACCTTTGAGCCCCTCCGTGACGTGGACCAACAGTTGCTGCTCGTCCTCCGGGGGGGAGTCGTCGTCTTCGTACTCCGGCAAGGGGTGGTAGTCCCCCGTGGGCTCCCGGCTCAGCGCCATGGGGCCCGGAACCCACAACACACACAACCACACAACACACACAACACACACACACAACCCCTCCCTTGAAGAACTCCGGAGGTGCCTGCAGCTCTCTCTAAAACTCTGGAAGACAAAAGCAAAGGCAACGCGGTGAACAGGCGCATACACAACCGAGACGGCGACACAATATCCCACACACACACACACCTCAACAACTTGGGGCAACAATTGGCCACAAAGGGAAGGGGGGTTTTTTCCCAGGAACCGGGATCCTTCCCCCGATTCAGCTTCCCTCCCCTCCCCACACGCACCGGGAGTTCCCATTGAGAAGACGCAATGACAGAGGTGGAAGGGACCTCGGAGGTCATCTAGTCCAACCCCCTGCTCAAGGAGGAGACCCTTACAGTGTCACAGAACGACAGAAAGGACCATGGAGGACATCTAGTCCAGCCCCCTGCTCAAGCAGGAGACCCTTACAGAATCATAGAATAAGAGTTGGAAGGGACCCTGGAGGTCATCTAGTCCAATCCCTGCCCAAGCAGGAGTCCCTTACAGGATAACAAAAGTTGAAAACGATCCCGGAGGTCATCTAGTTCACCCCCTGCTGAAACAGGAGACCCTTACAGAATCATAGAACAGAAGGGACCCTGGAGGTCATCTAGTCCAGCCCCCTGCTCAAGCAGGAGACCCTTAAAGAATCATAGAACAACAGAAGGGACCCCGGAGGTCATCTAGTCCAACTCCCTGCTCAAGGAGGAGACCCTTACAGGATAATAGAGCCGGAAAGGACCCCAGAAGTCATCTAGTCCCCCCCCCTTGCTCAAGCAGGAGACCCATTCAGAATCATACAACAGTAGGGAACTCGGAGGTCATCTAGTCCAGCCCCCTGCTCAAGCAGGACACCCTTAAACAATCATAGAACAACAGAAGGGACCCTGGAAGTCATCTAGTTCACCCCCTGCTCAAGCAGGAGACCCTTACAAAAGAACAAGAGTTGGAAGGGACCTCCGAGGTCATCTAGTCCAACCCCCTGCTCAAACAGGAGACCCTTAAAGAATCACAGAACAGAAGGGACCCTGGAGGTCATCTAGTTCACCCCCTGCTCAAGCAGGAGACCCTTACAGAATCACATAACAACAGAAGGGGCCCTGGAGGTCATCTAGTTCACCCCCTGCTCAAGCAGGAGACCCTTACAGAATCACAGAACAACAGAAGGGGCCCTGGAGGTCATCTAGTCCAATCCCCGCCCAAGCAGGACAACAGAGCTGGAAGGGACCCCGGACATCATCTAGTCCAACCCCCTGCTCAAGCAGGAGACCCGTTCAGAATCACAAAACAACAGAAGGGACCCTGGAGGACATCTAGTTCACCCCCTGCTCAAGCAGGAGACCCTTACAGAATCACAGAACAACAGAAGGGACCCTGGAGGACATCTAGTTCACCCCCTGCTCAAGCAGGAGACCCATTCAGAATCATAGAACAGAAAGGAACTCGGAGGTCATCTAGTCCAGTCCCTTGCTCAAGCAGGAGACTCTTACAGAATTATAAACAGAACGGACCTCCGAGGTCATCTAGTCCAACCCCCTTGCTCAAGCAGGAGACCCTTACAGCATAACAGACCGGGAAGGGACCCCAGAGATCATCTAGTCCAACCCCCTGCTCAAGCAGGAGACCCTTGCAGAACAGAGCTGGAAGGGACCCCGGAGGTCATCTAGTCCAACCCCCTGCTCAAGCAGGAGACCCGTTCAGAATAACAAAACAGAAGGGATCCTGGAGGACATCTAGTTCACCCCCTGCTCAAGCAGGGGACCCATTCAGAATCATAGAACAGAAGGAAACTCGGAGGTCATCTAGTCCAACCCCCTGCTCAAGCAGGAGACTTGTTCAGAATCACAAAACAACAGAAGGGACCCCAGAGGTCAACTAGTCCAACCCCCTGCCCAAGCAGGAGACCCTTGCAGAACAACAGGGCTGGCAGGGACCCCGGAGGTCATCTGGTCCAACCCCCTGCTCAAGCAGGAGACCCTTACAGAATCACAAAACAGAAGGCACCCTGGAGGACATCTAGTCCAGTCCCCGCCCAAGCAGGACAACAGAGCTGGAAGGGACCCCGGAGGTCATCCAGTCCAGCCCCCTGCTCAAGCAGGAGACCCTTACAGCATAACAGACCGCGAAGGGAACTTGGAGGTCATCTAGTCCAGCCCCCTGCTCAAGCAGGAGACCCTTACAGAATCACAGAACCGAAGGTCATCTAGTCCAATCCCCTTGCCCAAGCAGGACAGCAGAGCTGGAAGGGACCCCCGGAGGTCATCTAGTCCAGCCTCACCACCCGAGCGGGAGACCTTCTCTCCCGGTCAGACCAAGGGCCGCCCAGCCTCGTCTCCCCCTTTTTCCCACCCCCTCCCTCCTCCTCCTCCCTTGCAACAACAACCCTGCCAGGTGGGCCGGCAAAGAGACAGACAAAGAGGGAGGGGGGGGAGAGAGAGAGATACTGCACCAAATCTCCCCCCCAGCCCGAGTCAGGACTCGAACTCACCACCTCCCCGCCGCCCCCTCCCCGCAGAAGTCCACCCAGTGGCGTCGTAAGTGCGAAACGGCGGTCGTAAGTGCGAAACGGCCACCTTCCCCGGACGTGGCCGGCCCAACGCGGCTCCAGCCGCTCTCCCGCCGCCGGGACTCGTCCGCCGAGGCTGCCCGGGACCCAGGAGGGGAAGGGCGGCCGCTCAGCGGGCGAGGAGCCGCCTGAGTCACGCCGGGCCGGAGCCGCGTCCGACCCCGCGGCCTCCGAGGCCGCGCCTCCCTGGGGGCGGGGCTGGCCAGAGGCCCCGCCTCCACGGCGCTCCTTATTGCGCCTGTGCGGGTCCGTCTCGCCGGCGGCGGGCTTTCAACTGCGCCTGCGCGGGCGGCTTTGACTGCTGATTGCGCCTGTGCGGCTTCGCGTCTGGAGGGGGTGTGTCTTGTGTGACTCTTACTGCGCCTGCGCGGGCGGCTTTTACTGGCGGAGGCCGGCCTCGCCGCTTCTTATTGCGCCTGCGCGGGTCCCTCTCGGGGGGGGTGTGTTTGTTTGTGGACTCAGTGACACTTACTGCGCCTGCGCGAGTCTCTTAGTGGCGGACTTAGTGACTCTTACTGCGCCTGCGCGGGCGGCTTTTACTGGCGGAGGCCGGCCTCGACGCTTCTTATTGCGCCTGCGCGGGTCCGTCTGGGGTGGGTGTGTTTGTGGACTCAGTGACACTTACTGCGCCTGCGCGGGCGGCTTTTACTGGCAGAGGCCGGCCTCAACGTTTCTTATTGCGCCTGTGCGCGTCCGTCTGTCGGAGGGGACGGACTCAGTGACTCTTAGTGCGCCTGCGCGGGTGGCTTTTACTGACGGAGCCCGGCCTCACCGCTTCTTATTGCCCCTGTGCGGGTCTGTCTCTCAGGGGAGGGGCGGACTCTGTGACTCTTACTGCGCCTGCGCGAGTCGCTTCTAGCGGCGGAGGCCCGGCCTCGCCGCTTCTTATTGAGCCAGTGCGGCTCAGTCTCTGGGAGGGGGGGAGGCGGACTCAGCGACTCTTACTACGCCTGCGCGTGTCTCATTGGCGGACGCAACGGCTCTGACTGCGCCTGCGCAATTGCGTTTTAATGGCGGAGCCCGGCCTCGCCGCTTCTTACTGCGCCTGTGCGCGTCCGTCTCTCGCGGGGGCGGGCGGACTCAATGGCTGTGACTGCGCCTGCGCAGTTGTGTTTTAATGGCGGTGCCCGGCCCCGCCGCTTCTTACTGCGCCTGCGCGCGTCCGTCTCTCGCGGGGGCGGGCGGGCGGGCGGGCGGACTCAACGGCTCTGACTGCGCTTGCGCGGGTGGCTTTGACTGGCCGGAGCGGCGCGGCCCCGCCTCACCTCCTCTTACTAGGAGGCTCTGCGCCTGCGCGGCTGGGCTCCCAAAGGCGGACCCAGCCGAGCGAGTCCTTTCTCTCCGCCCTCGTTCTTCCCGCTCGCGCCTTAGCCACGCCCCTCCTGGCCTCCGCGCGGTGCATTCTGGGCGGCGGCGGTTCCTGAGGCGAAGGGGAAAGGCGGGACGGTGGGCGGGCCGGCGTGAGGGAGCCGCTTTTCGCTCGCCGTCATGCTGGCCCGGCTGGCGTTGCTGCGGCCGGGGCTGGCCGCGGGGCGCTCTTCCTACGCTCGGCGGCTTCCCCGCGCCGAGGCGGCCACGAAGGGGCCGTCGCCGGCCGGGGGCGTTGCCAGGTAACCGCCGCCGGCCCCCCGCCTCCTCCCGCGCGGGGCGCAAGGCATGCCGGGAGTCGTAGTCCTCCTTTCCCCTTTGGCTCCGGCCAGGCCCAGGCCCTCCTCGCTGACCGCCGGGGAAAGGCCTGAAGGGCCGGCCGGGCGGTTTGGACTCTCGCCCGCCTCAGCTTTTCCCCGCCGGGGAAGGAAAAAAGCCGAAGTCCGAAGGGATTAGAAGGAAGGCTAGGCCTGCGGGAGGAGGGGGAGGAGCGCGCATGCGCTCTGCTTTGTTTTCCCTCAGGGCTTGGCAGGGGATGGATGGATTGATTTTGGTTTTTTTTTGTTTTTTTTTCCCTCCCTGCTTTCCAAGAAAAAGGGAAAACTTTTCCTTGGAATTGGGTTCTTGGAAAAGTCCCGGCCGGCCTGCGTCAGAGGCGGCCCTGAGGCGCCTGGACAGCTGCAGGGATGGGCCCTGCGGCCTTTGCCTCTTTATTAGGCCATGTAGGATAAAAGGAATAGAATAAGGCAGAATAGAAATAGAGAATTGAATAGAAAAATAGGACAGGACAGGATAGAGGAGTGTAGAGTAGAATACAATAAGAACAAGGTAGAATAGAATACGATATAGAATAGAATAACACAGAATAGAACAAGAATAGAAATATAGAATGGAATAGAATTAGAATAGAAACAAGAATACAATAATGAATGGAATAGAATGAAATAGAAAAATAGGATAGAACAGAGAAATGTAGAATAGAATAAGGCAGAATAGAATAAGACAGAATAGGATAGAATAGAATAAGACAGAATAGTAGAATAGAATAGCAGAATAGAATAAGACAGGATAGAATAGAATAGTAGAATAGAATAAGATATAGAATAGAATAACACAGAATAGAACAAGAATAGAAATATAGAATGGAATAGAAATAGAATAGAAATATAGGATACAATAGAAATGTAGAATACAATAGTGAATGGAATAGAATTAGAATAGAAACAAGAATACAATAGTGAATGGAATAGAATGAAATAGAAAAATAGGATAGAACAGAGAAATGTAGAATAGAATAAGGCAGAATAGAATAAGACAGAATAGGATAGAATAGAATAAGACAGAATAGTAGAATAGAATAGTAGAATAGAATAAGACAGGATAGGATAGAATAGTAGAATAGAATAAGATATAGAATAGAATAACACAGAATAGAACAAGAATAGAAATATGGAATAGAAATATAGAATACAGTAGTGAATGGAATAGAATTAGAATAGAAACAAGAATGGAATAGCGAATGGAATAGAATGAAATAGAAAAATAGGATAGAATAGAGGAACGTAGAGTAGAATACAATAAGACTTTGAATAAGAGAATTAGTAGAATTGAATAAGGCAGGATAGAATAGAGGAATATAGAATAGAATAAGGCAGAATAGAATAAAACAGAATAGGATAGAATAGAATAAGACAGAACAGAATAGAATGAGGCAGAATAGAAATAGAGAATTGAATAGAAAAATAGGATAGGATAGAGGAGTGTAGAGTAGAATACAATAAGAACAAGATAGAATAGAATAGTAGAATAGAACAAGAATAGAAATATAGAATGGAATAAAATAGAATAGAAATATAGAATACAATAGTGAATGGAATAGAATTAGAATAGAAACAAGAATAGAATAGTGAATGGAATAGAATGAAATAGAAAAATAGGATAGAATAGAGGAACGTAGAGTAGAATACAATAAGACTGAATAAGATAGAATAGTAGAATTGAATAAGGCAGGATAGAATAGAGGAATGTAGAATAGAATAAGACTAAGAATAGAATATGGCAGAATAGAATAAGAATAGGATAGAATAAGACAGAACAGAATAGAATAAGACAGAATAGGATAGAATAGAATAAGACAGAATAGAATTAGAATAAGACAGGATAGAATAGAATAGTAGAATAGAATAAGGCAGAATAGAATTAGAATAGAATAAGACAGAATAGAATAAGACTAAGAATAGAATATGGCAGAATAGAATAAGACTAAGAATAGAATAAGACTAAGAATAGAATAAGACAGGATAGAATAGAATAAGACAGAATAGGATAGAATAAGACAGAATAGAATTAGAATAAGACAGGATAGAATAGAATAGTAGAATAGAATAAGGCAGAATAGAATTAGAATAGAATATGGCAGAATAGAATAAGACTAAGAATAGAATATGGCAGAATAGAATAAGGCAGAATAGAATATGGCAGAATAGAATAAGACAGAATAGGATAGAATAAGACAGAATAGAATTAGAATAAGGCAGAATAGAATAAGGCAGAATAGAATATGGCAGAATAGAATAAGACAGAATAGGATAGAATAAGACAGAATAGAATTAGAATAAGGCAGAATAGAATAAGACAGAATAGAATAGTAGAATAGAATAAGACAGGATAGAATAGAATAGTAGAATCGAATAAGGCTGAATAAAATTAGAATAGAATAAGCCAGAATAGAATAAGACAATAGAAGTAAGGCAGAAAAGGATAGAATAGTCGAATAGAATAGAATAGGACAGAATAGAACTGCATGGCACCTTAGAGGCCTTCAGGTCCAGCCCATACTTATTCAGTACACTTTTGAGTCTCCCTCCAGACCGGGCGGCTTACGGCAAAGTTCAGTAAACCGTGATTAAAACAGACATGGGTCAAGCCACTAACTGTGACGCCCTCCCAGGGCACGGCGCTTTCCCCCCCCCCCCCAAGCGAGACAGACGCTGATCTAAACGTTGGGTTTTGGGAGATTAGCCTCTCGAAATCCGGGTGGAGTGACCGATCAAAGGAGAATATTTATAGCATATTTACAGCTTGGGGTTAAAAAGGAGGGCTCCCTGGTGCTCTCGGAGCTGGGTTGTGGTCTTGCGGACGTTTCACGACCCAACTAGGGAACGTCACCAGTGCTAGAAGGGAGGGGGATTGTGGAGAGGAGGAGGGCCGTGGCGTCCTTGGTGCTCTCTGAGCTGGGTGGCTTCCTTGCCGACGTGTCATTCTCCAAACTAGGCAAGGTCACGCGACGTTAACAGCAATATTAATGTTGCTATTAATCAAATTAACAGGCGATGTTGATAGGAACGACGTTAACAGCGGTAGCATCATACACCGCAGTCCTTTCCAGCCCTGATGACGTCGCCTAGTGGGGGTCGTGAAACGTCCGCAAGCAAAACCACCAAACTCGGCCCCCCGGGGACCCCTCCACCCGGAACGCTTTGGCCCCCTTCAAGAGAGAGCTGCTTTTGTTGCCTGTTACAGGCCGCAGCCTTTGCATGGTGGCTGGGAGGCTTGCCCCCCCCCCCCCCAGACAGAATAGGATAGAATAAAATAGTAGAATAGAATGGAATAAGACATAGAATAGAGTAAGACAGAATAGGGTAGAATAAAATAGTAGAACAGAACAAGGCAGAATAGAGTAAGACTAAGAATAGAGTAGGATAGGATAGAACAGAATAGTAGAATATAATAGAATAAGGGATAGGATAGGAAAGTAGAATTAAGGCAGAATAGAATAAGACAATAGGATAGAATAAAATAGAATAGAATAAGACTAAGAATAGGACAATAGGATAGAATAAAGTAGATTAGAACAGAATAAGGCAGAATAGGATAAAATAAAATAGAATAGAATAAGGCAGAATAGAATAGGACAGAATAGGATAGAATAAAATGGTAGAATAGAATAAGGCAGAATAGAATAAGAATAAGATAGAATAGAATAGAATAAGGCAGAACAGAATAAGTCTAAGAATAGAATAAAACAATAGGATAGAATAAAATAGAATAGAATAAGGCAGAATAGAATAGGACAATAGGATAGAATAATAGAATAGAATAAGACAGAATAGAATTAGAATAGAATAAGATAATAGGATAGAATAAAATAGAATAGAATAAGGCAGAATAGAATAAGACTAAGAATAGAATAAGATAATAGAATAGAATAAAATAGAATAAGGCAGAATAGAATAGGGCAGAATAGGATAGAATAAAATAGTAGAATAGAATAAGACAATAGAATTAGAATAGAATAAGATAATAGGATAGAATAAAATAGAATAGAATAAGGCAGAATAGAATAAGACTAAGAATAGAATAAGACAATAGAATAGAATAAAATAGAATAAGGCAGAATAGAATAGGATAGAATAAAATAGAATAGAATAAGACAATAGAATTAGAACAGAATAAGATAATAGGATAGAATAAAATAGAATAGAATAAGGCAGAATAGAAATAAGACAATAGAATAGAATAGAATAAGGCAGAATAGAATAAGATTAAGATTAGAATAAGAGAATAGGATAGAATAAAATAGAATAAGGCAGAACAGAATAGGACAGAATAGGATAGAATAAAATAGTAGAATAGAATAAGACAGATTAGAATAGAATAAGATAATAGGATAGAATAAAATAGTAAAATAGAATAAGGCAGAATAGAATAAGACTAAGAATAGAATAAGGCAGAATAGAATAGAATAAGACAATAGGATAGAATAAAATAGAATAGAATAAGGCAGAATAGAATTAAGAATAGAATAAGACAGAACAGGATAGAATAAAATAGTAGACTAGAATAGAAGAAGGCAGAATGGAATAAGACTAAATAGAAGAGAATAGAGAAGAGAATAGATAGAATAGAATAGAGGAAGGTAGAGTAGTATCGCCGGGCGGGTGGGCTGCCTGGGGGGACCCGCAAGGCAGGCAGGCAGGCAGGCCTCCCTTCCCGGCCACATCGGCCGCCTCCTCCTGCCCGGAGATGGGGGAGCCTCGCCCGTCCTTTCCCGCCGTTCGCTGCCCCCTGATCCGTCTCTTCCCCCCCCTTTGTGCTTTCTTCTCTCCTTCCTCCTAGGCACTCCGGAAGCCATGCCCGCTTCTCCTCCTCCTGCGCCCGGCGCCTTCCCCGCGGCCTGCCCAGGCTCTCCCCGGCTGCGCTGCTGGCCTTGCCCCGCCACCTGGTGCCGCTGGGCCGGATGGCGGCCTGGTGGGCCGGGCCGGCCCTGGTGGGCCTGGGGGCCGGCTTCGGCCGGAGGGTCTTCTGCCAGGAGGCCCCCAAGGTGGAGATGATCTGCCTCCCCGGGGAGAAAGAGCCGGACTTCAACTGGGCCATGTTTTGGAAATTCATACGCCCTCAGCTGCTGGCGGTGGCGGCGTCCATTGTGGTGAGGGTCTTTCCCCGCGATTGGGTGGGTGGGTGGTTGAGGAAGTGGGCAGGCCCAGGTGGCCCGTGGACGGTTGGGTGGGAAGGAAATGGGATCGCAATAAGAGCTGGCAAGGGACCTGGGAGATCTTCTCGTCCGGGCCCTTGCTCAAGCCGGAAGGATGGAGAGATAGGAGAAGGAAGGAAGGAAGGAAGGAAGGAAGGAAGGAAGGAAGAAACTTAGGAAGGGAAGGGAGGAAGGAAGGAAGGCAGCGATTCAGGAAGGAAGCAGATATATTTAGGAAGGAAGGAAGTAGGGAGGAAGGAAGGAGAGATTCAGGAAGAAAGAAGGAAGGAGACCGATTCAGGAAGGAAGGAAGCAGACAAGATTGAGGAAGGAAGAAGGAGACAGACTCGGGAAGGAAGGAAGGAAGCAGACAGATTCAGGAAGGAAGGAAGTAGAAGGGAGGGAGGAAGGAAGGAGACATTCAGGAAGAAAGGAGAAGGAGACGAAGGAGACAGTGATTCAGGAAGGAAGGAGATTTAGGAAGGAAGGAGAAGGAAGCAGATATATTTAGGAAGGAAGGAAGTAGGGAGGAAGGAAGGAGACTGATTCAGGAAGGAAGCAGATTTAGGAAAGAAGTAGAAGGGAGGAAGGAAGGAGACCGATTCAGGAAGAAAGGAAGGAGACAGATTCAGGAAGGAAGGAAGTAGAAGGGAGGAAGGGAAAGAAGGAAGGAGACATTCAGGAAGGAAAGAGGGAGGGAAGGAAGGAAGGACATTCGGGAAGGAAGGAAGCAGACTAATTCAGGAAGGAGAAGGAAGCAGACAGATTCAGGAAGGAAGGAAGGAAGCAGACCAATTCAGGAAGAAAAGAAGGAGACAGATTCAGGAAGGAAGAAGAAGGAAAGAAGGAGACAGTGATTCAGGAAGGAAGGAAGGAGACCAGGAAACAGACCGATTTAGAAAGGAAGGAACTAGAAGGGAGGAAGGGAGAGAAGGAAGGAGACCGATTCAGAAAGGAAGGAAAGAAAGCCTTTATACATCCAAGCATCCTATTCACTTGTGGGGGTCCTCTCCCCCCCCTTGCCAGCTCACCTTCAAGCCATCCTATTTAAATCAAAGTTTGTCCCAAAAAAAAAAAATATTGGAAAAAATAAATAATAAAATCCCGGCCGTCGTTCTCCGGCCCTTTCTGTCTTTCCCGACCCGCAGTTTGCCTTCGGGGCGGCGATGCTCAACGTCCACATCCCGCTGCTGCTGGGCCAGATGGTGAACGTGGTGGCCAAGCACATGCGCGTGGGCGACTACCTGCGCTTGGTGCGCGAGCCGGCCCTGCGCCTGCTGACCCTCTACGGCCTCCAGGTGAGAGCGTCTTCCTTCCTTTTTTTAAATCATATTTTTATTAATTTTTCCAATTTTACATTCAAGTATTTAGAAAGCAGCGTGGCGACTGGGTTAATCGATAGTTCCATAACAAAATCTTTTGTGCAAATCTCAAGTTACACACACACACACACACACACACAAGGATGCTTCTCCCAGGGGGCTTTTTTTTTAAAAAAAATATTTTATTAATTTTTCCAATTTTACATTCGAGTATTTAGAAAGCAGCGTGGCGACTGGGTTAATCAATAGTTCCATCACAAAATCTCCAGTGCAAATCTCAAGTTACACACACACACACACACACACACACACAAGGATGCTTTTCCCAGGGGGCTTTTTTTAAAAATAATATTTTATTAATTTTCCAATTTTACATGTGTTTAGAAAGCAGCGTGGCAATTGGGTTAATCAATAGTTCCATCACAAAATCTTTCGTGCAAATCTCAAGTTACACACACACACACACACACACACACACACACACACACAAGGATGCTTCTCCCAGGGGGCTTTTTTTTAAAAAAAAATATTTTATTAATTTCCCAATTTTACATTCGAGTATTTAGAAAGCAACGCGGCAGCTGGGTTAATAATTCCATCACAAAATCTTCAGTGCAAATCTCAAGTTACACACACACAGACACAAGGATGCTTCTCCCAGGGGGCTTTTTTTAAATAATATTAATTTTTCCAATTTTACATTCGAGTAGTTAAAAAGCAGCGTGGCGGCTGGGTTAATCAATAGTTCCATAACAAAATCTTTCCTGCAAGATTCGTATCTTAAAAAGTAAGTGGAAAAAAGACATCAAAATAAAAGAAAAAGACATCAAAATAAAAAGAAAAAAAAGAAGAGAGAAAGAAGGAAAAAGGGAAAAAAGGAAGAAAGGAATAAGAAAATGATATACTACTTAAAACTGAAGGCCACTGGACTTGTCTTGTTTCGCTTCTTATCGCTTCTTCAGCTCTGACTGGATGGAGGGAAATGGAAGGATTTATACTCCTTGCAGACCGCTGGTCATTTGCCTCCTTTTAGCGGGTCGTTGAGGCTACTTGGAGGCTTATCTGTGTCTTCCTGGGACTTTCCTATTATTCTTTGAAGACATTTTGCTTCTCATTCAAGAAGCTTCTTCAGCTCTGACCAGGTGGTAGGGGAACGGAAGGATTTATACTCCGTGCAGACCGCTGGTCATTTGCCTCCTTTTAGAAGGTCATTGAGGCCACTTGGAGGCTTATCTGTGTCCTACTGGGATTTTCTTATTATTCTTTGAAGACGTTTCGCTTCTCATTCAAGAAGCTTCTTCAGCTCTGACCGGATGGCAGGGGAACGGAAGGATTTATACTCCTTGCAGACCGCCGGTCATTTGCCTCCTTTGAGAGGGTCGTTGAGGCCACTTGGAGGTTTAAGGTCCCCTGAGTGGTGCAAATGGGCGATCTATCTATCTCCAGTCTACAACGCCGTCCTTTCCGCAGTTCCAAGAAGGCTCCACACCCATGGTGGCATTCAGCGACAGCACCGAGGGAACTAAGAAGAAAAAAACTACGGGTCTTCTTAGAGGGGTGTTTTATAAAATTTTTAGGGGGTTCGGGGTTGGCCCGAGAGGAACTAGGGGAGTCCTCTCCGAGGCCAAGGCCAGTCCTGTCTGGGGGGCGCGGAGTGGTAAGGGAGGAGACTGGGGAGCTGGCGGAGGGTGGTGTGATAGGTACGGTCAGTGGG